ATACGTAATTACGAAAATTGGCATCTGTATGTTAACCTATGTAGTATCTATGATTGAAAGCAAATAAGACATTTTCTATTCAATTTAATTTAATTATTAATTTCTTTAGTTTCTTCTAACAGAAAATCTTTTATCAAGTTACTTTATTAAATGTTACAATAAATAAAATAAATACAATATGCAGATATACGACAAAAATAAACTTACCACGTGTGCAACTAACGAACAGAAATCAGAAAAGAACATTCAAAATGGCGTACAAAATGGACGAGATCAATTCTGGTAAACCACATGAAATTTACAAATATCCCTATGTAACGTGTAACAAAAAAATAACTATAAAATAATTATAAAACTACAATTTAGAAAAATAAAAATAAGATTTATCAAAAAAATTGATATTTATTTTTTTATCATTAATTTTGTTCGTAGCTTTGTTCAAAAGGTAATTCATTAAACATAGACATTACTTCGTTTATATCGTATTCTTGCTTTTTTCGTTTCTTAATTTCACTAGATACTTTTCGGAAATCTTGCGGAATATAAATTGAAGTATCATCTAAAAATAAAGGATCATCCTGAGGCAATATTTGTAAATTCGCCCACCTTGTTGCAACTTGTTTAAATACACATTTTCTGAACATTATGCAATGTATATGGTGCAATTTCTCATATTTTATTCTCATAAATCCTAATTTACTCAGAACGTATCTCCACGATTTCATGAGCTTAGCATTCGCATGAACATGTTTTGAATCAGGACTTATAATGAAAAATATACCACCAAATTGCAATAAATCATAAGCCTTTTTACAGCATAAATATCTTTGTTTTGGACATGGTAAATATTCCAGAAATAAAGAAAATACAACTACCTGAAAATGGTTTTCAGGAAATTGCAGAATTTCTTGTTTATTACTCACAGACAATTCTTGTCCAATTTGAACATTTAAAAAATCACAATAAAAAACTTTGCCTGGTATGCCATTCAGATCTATTGCAGTTATCTCAAATATGTCGAAAGCGCTAAATGGATTATAACAACTACCCACATCCAACAGTGATATCTTTTGAATTGGTTTCTTATGTTTAATATTTACATTACAATTTATAGCAACTTCAGTATCTGCAAAATTTGTATCTATTTTCAGTTTGATATCTTCTTCCTTTAGATCATATTTTTGTTTTTCTTCATTTAAAAAATACTCTTCACAATGAAATTTGATCCATTCTATTCTGGAATATGTTGAACCTTTGGTATTTAAGTTATTTTGCATCCAATGTGTAGTTGCCAATTCCTGCATACTGGAAGCATATTCCTAAAATACACATTTATAAGGTTATTCTACAATATCTTTATTCTACATGTACTAATCTTACTTTATTTCAATATTTGAAAAAGCAACATTTAAAAATAAATCATACCTGTAATATGTCTTTACGACATATGTGCCGTTTCCATGCAATCTCTGGACCATAATTCTGAGCTTCTTGTCGCAACGTGGCATGTGTATTTTTTATAATATTTGCTAAATATTTATGTTCTGTTGCCATTCGAAACTTTATGCTGGCATTAGTTTATTTTACTTGAGTACAGTATGAAATTCTGTTAATTGTCTTTTTGATTTTGTAAAATAAATAAATACAAATGCGTTAATAATTGTTTCTACTACTTCAACCTAATATCCAATTTTTGACGTTTCATTAAATTACCGTCGTTAACCCCCACGATCAAAACAATGGCGGGTTCTGCACTGAGACGATTAATGGCAGAGTATAAACGTGAGAATTAAATTTAATTTAATGCAGTACGCACTTCACTATAGACATCGTATAAAACTTTCTCGCTTATTATTCTTTCTGCCCAATTTTAAATGATAATATAACGACCACTGCATTTTTTGCAGAATTAACCTTAAATCCACCTGAAGGTATTATCGCTGGTCCAATAAATGAAGAAAATTTTTTCGAATGGGAAGCCTTAATCACGTACGTATTTGAATAATTTTTTATTCTTCTTATTTATAAAAATATTTCTTCGTTTGCAAAAATTGATTTTTGTTTATAACATGTTTGCAATGAAATGCCCCATATCTTTATCTTTTTTTTTTTAATTCTATGATTATAAATATAATTTAAACTTTACATCTATAACATATGTGTTGAACAATTAACATTTATTTACAGTGGACCAGAAGGAACGTGTTTCGAGGGTGGTGTTTTTCCAGCAAAGCTTATATTTCCACCAGATTATCCTTTAAGTCCACCAAAGATGCAATTTACTTGTGAGATGTTTCATCCAAATAGTAAGACTTCAATTTTAGTGAAACATTAAATTGATTCTTAATAAACCTCTAAAAATTAACTTTTGCTTATTTTTCTTTAGTTTATGCAGATGGTAGAGTATGTATAAGTATATTACATGCACCTGGTGATGATCCTATGGGCTATGAAAGTAGTGCAGAAAGGTGGAGTCCAGTTCAGAGTGTAGAGAAAATATTGTTAAGTGTGGTAAGTATGTTAGCAGAACCAAATGATGAAAGTGGAGCAAATGTTGATGCAGCTAAAATGTGGAGAGAAGATCGCTCAGAATTTGAAAGAATTGCCCAAAAATTAGTTAGAAAAACACTTGGTATTCCACCTTAAATTGATGTTCAATATTTAATTGAAGATAAAGTTGTAATTAAAATGTCATATGATTCAATGCAAAATATATATTATGTTTGAATTAAAATTTTATTAAAATGTGATATGTACTTACAAACATGTTTTGCAATTATGTGTAATAGTGATAAAACTACTGAATTAAAAACAAATTAATAACGCAGTATATTAGTCTTAAAAAATGTATTTTATTTTCAACATTGCAGTACAAACATGGGTAATCAGATACATACATATTTGTTTATACTTAGAGTACCTTTAACTGTAATAAAGTAATGAAAAAAATTTTTTCTTGTGCTCATAGATGTGAAAAATTTGAATTGTGCAAATTATTTGTATTACAATTACGGAAATAGTACTAAATATTTAATAGCAAACAATTTTCGGTTGAATCATTTTATTGTAATATTGAAAAATATTTACAAAAAGAAGTTGAAGCAACATTTTGAACGAATACGTTATAGATATTTTTGGAGTATAATAAAATTTGTACATTTAAAACTTATAATAAAATTAATGTTATCGTTACAAATTATAGAAACTTATTTATAGATGAAAAGATTTATAAAAGTAGGATATGTTTAAAAATATAAACTTAAATTTTTGTCATAAAAGTAAACAAAGATTTTATTTTTCTCTTGCAGTGTAGTACACTTATCTTAAAGTTTCAATGAATCATCCACACTCCTGTTGTGCATGTTTAAAAGCATACCTTGTATTACCTTAAATATTTACAAAATTAAAAGATTTATAATAGGTTTCTGATTATCATGCATCCTTCACTCTAATGACCATCGAACTTGGTGATAAATTATATTAGACTAGAATAATTAAATTAAAGAATATAAAATTGTAGTTTTAAAAAGTACAATTAACTCTTAAAATAACAACAAAAAGCTTACATAGATTTAGCATCTTTTTCTATTAAAATTATGTTTGGATTATATCTTTGAAAAAGATAAAAAAATAAATACAAGTATTTGGAAGTAAATTGATATTTATTAGTAAACAATACTGAATTCCAACTTAAAACGCAATGTTTATGACTAGCAGTTGTCAATAATTTATAATAAACAATAATAAAAAATTGTATCAGTACATTATAATCAAAGTACAACATTTTTTTTTTAGGAATATAACTCAAATAATTTTTTTAATTCTTCTATCTTTGTTATGGTACTTGTTGCATACATTTACTTATTTTTACACAATCCTATTAAACCAAATATACATATAAAATATATATAGTAGGCTGATAAATCAAATTGTAAAATAATACATAACTAATATTTCATAAAAAAAAAATATTTAAAACACGCATATACAACACATTATGTTTGACAGAATATTTTAATTTATAAATCAATGTTATACTTTGAATATAATTATAGACTTTGGCATATAAGAAATAAATTACTGTTCTATGCCAAGTGCATATTTCTTCTGTTTTATAAAAAATTTGTTATTATAATTTTCTAATTAAATATTAAATTGAGCTATACATTTTCGTAATCAGATTTAAAGATTTCCTATTTAAAAGAATATTTTTCAAGAATATTTTAATACCATTGATGATTTGTCTTGAAAATGTACAGTCAATTGCAAACTTTAATATATTATAATAATATCACATTTTAGTGTATCAAAAATGTAGAATTAAATTTAATACTTTCTACATATCCTCATTGGAGAGGCATTATAAAAATACAAAGCTGTCATTCAATGTCACACTTACTTATATATAATCACGTAAAAAAACATCTTTTAAACATATTTATCATACAATAACACTTGGCATAGAATTTTCATATTTTTTTCTTAATATTAATGTTAATAGTAGTAAAACATAATTAAATAAAGCATTGATATTTTTCAATGCTAATTTCTTCACAAGAATACATATGTGCAACTTATATTAATGTAAAATACATTTGTTATAAAATGGTACTAATTCTGCTCTATATACCTCCCACTGTGGCTGAGGTATTATGGTGCCTTTAACCATTAATTATACGCACATGCTTCACATATGTTTAGATTTATCCTTAGACATAGTCTTTTCAGACAATCTGATAATAGTAATTGTATTGCAAAATCTACCACGTGAATATTGAGTATAAAATTTGTTTATTTAGTACTGCAAAGTTCACGAAAGTGCAACCAAAATTTCTGAGCAATATGTATATGTGGCCCTTGCTATTCCATGATTCATGAAGCTGCACAGGAAAAGCAATTTAAAGATAAAATAAAACAAAGATTCGTTAATTGATTTGTCTAGAATAACAGTCAGTACATATTTTGTATAAAAACTTTCTCCTTCCTTGAAAAATCTATCTTTATATCAATGCTTCATAGTGAGCTCTGTATAACATTACAGAATACAAAATTTATCAAAGTAATGTCTCTGTTTCTGAAGATGAGATTACACACCTCTTCAGAGGAAAGGGACAAAAATAAAATATATATTATTACAATTTACTAAATTTTATCTGAAGCTCCTTTCTACTTTTCGATTTGGTTAGTCGAAATTGTAAATTGAAAACTTTTCACTTGATTTATATTAATTCTTAGTATTAAGTTATAATCTAAAATTTATGTAATGATTGCAAATAAAATATAATTCAAGAATGTAAGTTTCGGGAACTTTATCCGAATCAAACAAAATAATTTACATAGATAAAACTACTACTTACAGAAAAATTAAATACATGATATAACTAAATTCGTTTAAGTGCATTGCACGATGTAATCTTGTTAAGTTTATCTGAGCACAAGAATAAACAGTGGCTCGATTAGCTTGATTCAACTGTATAATTTAAGGAATCAGAATTCTATAATTTATAATTTTATATAGCACCAGTCGCTAATCAGTTTTAACAAAGAATTTTTTTACCCTTTCAAGGTAAATATTGTTAAATCTTATTTTAAAATTGACTATAAAAAATGAAACAAGTATAATACATTTAAAAAATTGCACATCATATATTAATTATTCTTTATAGACTTAAAGAATCACAAAATATATATATCTAATGTGCCAGACATTAATAAATTCCTGACAATTTAATTATTCTATAAAATCAACTAATGTACATAAAAATATTTACATTATAAAGCAATCTAAAATAATGTATTCCATCCAAAGATTATTCTTGAAAATGATTATAATAATAATTTGCGAAAAAATACGATTGATGCTCGAATGAAAATATTTATATTATATTATGATTCCATTAATTCGTTGAATATTTTATCTAAGTTAATCAGTCTGTGGTAGCTACTTCTAAACTTAAAACACGATATAACAACATGTTGAACTGATTAATATTGAAATTTTCTACAGTTGACAGACATAACTGATTTTGTATATGCCAGATTATATATTAATATAATGTTAGCCTACAGCATCTTTTCATAATTGTTTGCACGTGCATCATATTTAAAATTATTTATTGACTCTATATTGATCATTCAATGAAATGGAACGTCAAATGTAGGATGTAGATTAATTATATTCATATTCTTTCTATTTATATTAAAACACATATTTTAAAATTTCATAGAAAATAGTCAAACATGTAATTGAATAATCTCTGGCAAAAACATAATTTATGAACTAAAATCCAATAAAAACATTATGATTTCAATGCCTAGATAAAAAAAGTAGTATAAGGTATATGGCACGCAAGAAGGAGTTATTCGATCACTGCTTTGCATCATTATATATGAATATTATAAATTCATTGCATCGTATGAACTTGTAAAGATATTTTAAAATGAAAAAACAGGAACTTAAATTAAAATTGATACGTAAAATTTTTTGAGATTATTGTATGATTACTGTACTTTCGAAATTATTTCAGAACAAAATTAAAAAATCATAAATTCAAGCTCTAATATCAATTTATTTGTGCATTTTTAATTATATCAATGTGAATTCTGATTGAAAATTATCTTTTTGAAGTAATTTTACCTCAATTTGTACAATTTGTTTAAATATTTTTATGCAATTAACTATATTGTATTATATACGAACTGCGTGGAACGGATTATCCTTCTTTTCAATTAGATGTTAAAATTTTATATTTCAAATTTAAATTAATGTATAATATATGTTATTCCCATATTTAATCATATTATTTAATAAAATTATATGGAACGAAATTGTGTAACATCTTAAATCTTAAACCATACGTACTAAACATTTGGCAAGTATTTGACAAAAATGAAGGACAAAATATTATGTATTTGTACCTCACGATAGGCCTTGTGGTGTGAAACAAATCTTCTCTAATTCACCAGTTGAAGAACTAACAGGAGATTCAGCTCTATCATCTTGTTCAGCTAATTGTTCACTGTAGTAATGGGGCGTGCTCAGGTAATCAATGAGCCGCCGAGGCAGAGGTAGAGTGGGAATAAGATCCCTGCGTACCATCTTCAAAATAACAAATCTGCACGTATGCTGTAAACTTTGAACCTGTTTAAATCTTGATACTGGATGAAGAAGTTGCACACGCATTGGACCTAACACTGGCCGCCGATGAAGAAAAAACAAATATCGTCCACTACGTGAATGTTCTACTGCATTCTCAATAAAGTCAACAATTGTATGAGACTTGAATTTTGTGCAACTTCCAAAGCTGAAATTACCTATATACACGACATATAAAATATTAAAATTGTGCAAAAAAAATAATGGCGTAGAAAAAAATTACATCAATAAAAACATAAAACTTACCCTGATCATGCTCTATTCTTACATGTCGCACACAACTGTTAAGTCTAAATGATAAAGAAAAAATATAATGATCATCGCTACTGTCTCGTACAATAAATGACCCATCTGGTTCATTAGACAGTATTTTCTCTGCAGCTTCACCAGATATTGGGCCCCAATACCATCCATACTATTATAAATAAAATTGAATAATTATAATACATCTTCATATTGAACATATTATATCTTTAAAAAGTAAATAAATAAAAGTATAAATTACATACATCTTTTACTTTCTCAATACTAGCAGCAAAATCCATACTGGTATCCTCTGCTGGTTCGTCTTCAACTTTTGGCGCAGGTGGTGGCATTTGTGGTGGTATAGAAGTTGGACTTTCACATTTAGATACCATTGTTGTAAGCGCATCTTCCGCTTGTTCCACACCCCCTACATGTCCATTGCTTTTTGGTAATGGGGGTAGTGCACGCTTAAAAAAAGGTAGCTTTTGTACAGAGGAATCTACCTCTGAGGTAGTATTATTATTATTAGCATGTTGGTCAGAATCAACCTCTTCTTCTTCTACAATTTCACCCTGTACAATGCTATTTCTTTTTTCTACGAAATGGTCCGGAGAACCCAAACGCCTGAATCTAAAGATATTGCAAAGTGTTTGTTTCAAATTTAATGAGAAATTTCGTTGACTCTTCTTAATCTTCTCTCTTTCGGAATCAACTTTCTCCTTATGTGGTTCATCTTTTACTTTTTTATGTTTAATACTAACAAACGAATTTTTTTTATGTTTCTTAACGTTACCATTATTATTATTGTTATTGTTATTATTATTATTATTGTTATTGTGAATCAGTCCATTGCTATTTTTGTTTGAAATCGGAGTATCCATCGCTGAATCTGTATGCGGGTTACTATATCTATTGTTATTATTTACACTAATACCTTTTGGCATTGCAAGGTGTATAGGTGTATGACTTATTGGAGCTTTATTATCGCGTTTAATTTTATTTTCACTAGAATCACTGGAGCTTGAGTATAGTGTTTGCAAATATTGACGCACTTCGTGTAAAGTCATATGAATTGGTTCACCAATATTGTGCATGTGACCATTAGTTGTTCGAGACGTATGGCGACCAGATGTACCAGGAACGCTATGACGTTTTCCGTTTCCAGTTTCATTGCAGCATACATCAGATAATAGTCTTTGTGATTTTATAACATGGGTAATAGCACGAGGTTTTCCACAATAATGCCTTGCCTGCTGAATATGGGCTTCTAATTCACTCTGCGAACTAGCAGATACATTTCTTCTTCTTTTGCGATGATGCCTGTGACGTTTAGGCCTTTGCGGTGTTCTAAGATCATGCAAAGGTCTAACTACATCTATTGGTACAGTATAAATGTCAGAATCAAAGGGCACATTGTACATATCACTAATCTCACTGGTCGTTAAAACATCGTGTGACATAGCAGAGGTGATAAAACTGCTGTCATCCACTTTGTGACTCAGTCCTGAGGTATTTATTGAATTATGAGAACTGGATAAACGAGAAGAAGCTAAAGAACATCGTGAATTTGGACGATTCAAAGTACTATATGGAGTAATTAAAGTAGTAGCTCCTTGACATGAAGAAGGTGTCAACAAATCTGTTGCCCAAAAACGTTTCGGATTATATACACTACGTGTTACCACTGGTACATGATTTGTTGCAGGTGCTATTCTTCCTTCTGGCCATGATATTCTACAAGATATTATTAGTGCTTCTTCAATCATTGACTGTACTAAATTTTCAGCATAATCATCTATTAATTGTGGAACTTTTTGTCTCATTAATCGTGCATAGCTAAGAATCGGTGCAGATGAAGATTCAGAGTTAGGAGGAGAAGGGCTATCTTGAAATTCTGGTGGAGGTTTAATAGCTACATCAACCACTTCAACTTCTAGTTTTCCGTCAGCATCAGTCCATCCTGGTCCTTTTTTCAATGTATTAAAATTTTCACCACACATACCATCTGAATAATCAAAAGAATCTTGCGATAAAGATTTACTTTCTATATCGCTTTCTTGCATCTAAAACAAAAATAAATTATTCATTCAATTCAAAAGGTACTATATATGTTTAATATATACACTGCACAGAAATACCAGAAATGTCACATGAATTATACCTCGATTGCAAGATGCGCTCGAACTGAATCGCTAGAAATGGACCCTCCAATTCCACTGCTACCAAGATCACTGAGAGGTCCAGTAGCGCTTAGTGAACATGACGGTGGAGAGTCCATCTCAATACTTTTAATTTATTTGTGTGCTAAAAAATTTATAGTAGCCAAAATTTTTGGAAGTTCCACATTGTCCCCTATAAGATTATAGTGAAATTTAATTTCTTTAATATAACCAGTTAATTGTAAACTGTTCATATTAATTGGAAAAATTTAATTAAATTAGTTTCTCAACTGAATTGGAATTCTTACCTGAAAATAGCAATTACAAGCAATACGCGAATGTCTCATGATCTTCATGTTTACATAAGTACTTGTACTTTTCATATGGTCCATTATGAATACGAAACTGAAAGGACATTTAAAACAAATTTATATTAGAATAATCTAAATTTTCACCTACATACAGCAATATATCTGACATAAATCTTTCTCCTATGATTCGAATAAATGATTATATTTGTTTACTATACTTATTTAATGTTATTACATTATCTAAACAAAAATCTATCCTTTGAAAAAATATATTTTAAATGCACCAAAACGCATCGCATACATACACACACACATACACACATATATACACTCACATTTCATAAATCTTTAATATTTAACCTTCGTCTATAAATCGTATAAACTGTTTCTTTCAAAAAATTAAACAGCACGAGCGTACATGAAATACAAAGAATCCACAGAGGGGGATATTCTTACGAGAAGTATAAGTACTGTCAAAAGATATATGACATAAAAAAACAATATGTCTTGATATCACTTTATAAAGAAATTTAGACCCACGTTGACGTAGTATAGACAAAAATTAAGGTATCCCTCTGTATGATTCATCTCTTGGCTATATATTGTGTGAAATATTCGAAATATCTTGATCAAGGTGCATGCCGTACAACGAGCACTTTAATATCCCGGCAAGGTTGATGTTTGCGTCGTAGATAGTAGTGGACTACGTTTGACGTTTCGAAAGTTAAAAGTGGATTTTACGTACTTATGCTAGGTTACTCGCAACTCGATCGCATTCACGTAATATTTGTCAACGAAGCAAAATATCAGAAAAATGTTCATCGTTGTCACATAATGTTCGTTCGACAGACAAATCAATATTTAAAAGACAAACGCAAGTCCTTCACGTTACAGTTTACTCCATGTCAGTTCCGTTCCCACATTCCGTCTGTCATGCCGAGGAAGAGTTCTATTCGAGTACTTTCCGGGATCGACGATGCATTTCACAAAAGGAGGAACTGCAGCCACCAATGTGGTTGCACAATTCGAAATGATTTTATGTACGTAGTTAGTCATACGTTTTCAAATGACCAACATTCGCAAATAAAATATAATTTTTCTCTTTTTAATACAAAATTGCGTTTGTCTGTTCAAGTTATCAAATAAAAAATATGAAAAGCTGTTACAATTCTTTTTATTTACAATTAATGAGAAGTTAAAGTAAATGTTTGAACATATTAATTTTGACTAATTTTGAAAGTATTGCAATATACTAGTAGAAATATATCAAATATTCAGCATGTTTTATTTTTCAAATATTATATGTTGTTAATTACTCTTGTTGTTATTATTTACTATTTTTCTCTAATTCTTCAGTTATTTTACATTATTCCTATATTCTTATTAATCTTTCTCAGATTGTCATACATGAAGCGTTTTAAAAAGTTCCTAGACAAAAATTCACTAAATGCGGATAAATACGGTATCGATAGCGTTATCGTGTTGAATAGACGTGCTTTCGACTGATAATTACGAATTTTAATTTATAATTAACGTGCATGCATTTTCTGCAACTATAATCACGTGAGAAGAAGTAACAATGTCACAGATGTGTGTGAATGTTTGTCAATGTAATCGCAAAACATGTACATCCATATAGTCGTACATAAATACGTCAGCATTAGTCGCTCTGACGTTTCTTACACAAACAAAATCTAAATGATGATTAAATATTGAAAAACAGGTTATAACATTAAAATTATGTCAACAAGTTGTAATTTTATGTTATCGTAACATTCGAATTCAATTTTACAAATTCAATTAAGAAATATGAAACAATGAAATTATTTAAGAAAATTTGTAAAAATGCCAAAACTTGTTTTATAAATATTTTAAAATATCATGTGTCCAGTGTAAATTCGGTATGATTATTGCGTATTTTTTATTTTATATTTAAATTTTTCTATTAATCTTTTTCTTCTTTCTCTATTAATATTTATTATTTATTATATATTTTCTTTTATTTATTATTTATTATTTTATATAAATAACAAATATAAATGTGTAACAAAAAAATAAAGGAAACGCATTTGAAATAATTGTTACATAATGTATAATTTTGCAGGTACATAAATTAGACAATTTAAAATGTTGCTCCAACAATTTGCAGATTTTTTGAGCCTTATAACAATAGGTATGTGTTTCACATTAAAGATTCCTCAGATTTTGAATTTATTGACTGCTAAATCAGCAGATCAGATGTCAGTTGTAGGCCTTTTGTTAGAATTGACTAGGTAAGTCCATCTAAAATATATTTAAAAATTTTGATGTTTTTTTTATAACAAAACTTTGAATTTCAGTTATACTGTGATGACTAGTTATAATTTTACAAATGGTTATTCAATACTATCTTATCTGGAATATCCTGTTATTTTATTACAAGAATATATTTTAATCTTCCTAGTTCTGAAGTATTTAAATAAAATAAACACATCCTCAATTCTAGTCTCAATACTTTATTTTAGCATAAGTATCTCATTTGCAATGCAACTTATTCCAAAAGTCGTTCTTACCATTCTAGCGGTTAGTTAATTAATTAACAATAAATTAAAAAAAAATAATTGTTAACTTTATGTATTAATTTATTTTATAATTGATAGCCATTGTGTACCCCAATTTCTGTCTCGAGTAAAATTGTTCAATTAATGGCCATTTATCAAGCGAAAAATGCGGACTCGGTGTCGCCGATTACTTGGTTTATTTCTGCATTTACTAATTTAAGTAAGTTATGGATACAAAATGTCAATCTTTCTTAGTGGCTTTTCAATAAAAATGTTAATTTTCGTTTACAGCGAGAGTATTTACCATATGGATGGATTCGGCAGACATTTTACTACTAGGAAATTTTATTATCTCTGTGATTTTAAGTTCGAGTATTATGTTTTCCACTATTTATTATAGATGGAATAGAGTGAAACGAGATTAAGACGCTCGAAAGCGACACAATGCTGTGAAAATTAATCTGGTCAAATGTATGTGCCATGTGGCTCTTCTTCCTCGGTATTTATCAATGAAAAACAATGCAATTCTATAGTACTTATAATTCAATATGTACTTATATAAACTTAAACGAACATTAATTCTAAAAGCGTACATTATTTATTGTACATAGGTGAACATTCAAAGTGAATAAAAAACTTTATCAATAGATTAAAATGCAATCGAAGATCCTATTTACAACTTCCCTCTCGATCATGTGTTATTTCCCCCGAATTGGACTTCTCTGAAAAATGTTATGCAACTAATTCTTGGAAGAAGAATCGTTAATCGCTTAGAGGTCTTCCTAAAACTGCAAGCCCAAGCAGATATCCAAGCATGAAATTAAGAAAAATCATGTTTCTGGCTAACAAGAATCAATCGTTCTGTACAATTATCCTTAAATTAATATGATTAATTATCGAAAACGAACGTTATTCCTCTAGTTCGCTAGCGAATAGATGCAGAGTGGCGGCCGAAGTGGTGGTTCGACGATCGAGAAAGAGTAGACAATAGTGTGTACTGTTGGGCCGAAACAGCATGCACGTATGTAGGGGTACGGACGGCATATGGTTTAGAAATGTGTGGACCATCCTTCTAGAGTCGCCACCCCCACTGCCCCTCTACCACGGACCGGCGGTCCTCGATGACCTCCGGCCTGTCAGTCTAAACCGAGAAGCCGCTCAGGCTTCATCAACATCTTTGCATCTCTCTCGCCGCATTCTCCCGAAGAGGGAACGAAAGTGAGAGGGGGACAGAGAGAAAAAGAGGAAAGAAAAGAAAGAGGAGAGGAGAATAGTCGGGGCCGCGAGTAGTTTCGAGAGTATACGCCGTGTTAAAGGACGAACCACCAGAAGTGCCAACGGTGGCGGACTCGATCTGTCCACTGTCAGGATGGCGAGGTGGTTGCTGGTCGCTTCGTTGGCCAGCTTGCTGGTCCACCCAACGAGAAACGAAATCCTGACGCCACCGTATTTCAATTTAGCCGAAGGAAAGGAGATTATCGCATCAGCCACGTGTGGCGTCGACACCCCCGGCCCGGAACTCTATTGCAAGCTCGTCGGCGCGAATGCTGATCAGCACGAGGACATTAATCTGATACAGGGTCAGGTAGGTATATACTTGTGTCTCCTATCTGTTTTTCCACATATCTTTGACGGAACAGCGATCCACAATGACTTTTAAATCGTTCCTTTCGCTCCATTTTTGTTTCGTTTGTCCATTTACTTATTAATTTGAATCGTGAATGAAAAATTATCTTATCTATATAATGTAAAGTAGAACTCAAACGAATTCGAGTTTCAATTATCAAATTTCAAGAATCTACACTATTATAATTACTTGGATAGAATTCATTCACTATTGAAGTGAATTCAATATTTATCGAAAAACGTGT